AGACCTTTGTCAAACTTTCCATTAATAAACGGTCGAACGTTTTTCGAAGCCTTTTACCGAATTCTATTAAAATTCATTCCCTTCAAAAGGGCGATGGCGAAATGACACACGGAATAAATGATGTCCATTCCATTTAGGTACCGTTCAGTTTTGGAGCGATTGCAAATATTTAGGTGTAACCGATTAGCTCGTGTCCACCTACCATTATTATGCAAATCAGATTAATTGAGCAGATGAATTTAATTGTCTTAATTACTTACTGATTGAGTATTCCAAATCAGTACCAAAATGTGCTACCTATATCACCCAACTTTAAGTGTAATTGATGGGTATCACCAAGGGGCATAAAGAATAAATTTCGGCACTTGGTAGGTTCTCGCAAACTGGCATCTGTTATTGTTAAATCGCGAAGGATTGGGAGAAATTGGTTCATTGTGAGTTCATTGGTTGCGATTGTGGTTTTTGCACTGCATTGTCGCTCGACCGGACCGGAATGCATTCACATCAATGACTACATCACAGACGGGTGATCCGACACAACTACCTGCATCATTGACATTGCGCATCTTTTGTAAGCATTCAATCTCCGGGCGTGTCCTCTAACAGTCCCACGTCGATCTAATGAAACCATTACAACTCTCCGATCACTCAATTGGAAATGGACTAGGCTATTTTTATTTCAGAAAAAAGACCTTTTCTGTGCAAATGAATTTTCGGCTCTCCTAGCTTAACTTTCTAGTTATTAGATCGAAACAATTTACTTTCATGAATATTTTTACTCTACTAACAATTTTGTTATTGTTATTATAATAGCGGCAAAAGTAGGAACTTCCTTTAGGACGCTGTAAAACTCAAACGTACCGCTTAAACAGAACGGTGAATTTAAACGAACTTGTTTCCAGCAAAATTGAAGCTAACAAGACAACATGTTAGTTTTAACGAGGATTTAATTTCTCTTTTACAATGTGTTTTCCAATAATGTTGACTGAAAATTCTAAAACATGGCGTTGTTTTCTGTTCGGAACAATACGTTGGTATTTTTTGTTTCATAAATGCAACGGACGTACAGCGGTGCCTATTAGATGAATAGAAATTTTCAAAGCGAATAAAAGTTCGTAAATATAGCTACCATTCGATTGTTATCGAAAAATATCTCACTTTTTCGGGAAACCATTTTTGCTCCATCCGAAATATGATTTTTATGCATAGGTGTGTTATTGATTTTCTTCCACTTTGGAAAAACAGCAAGCTTTTGTTTTTTGATATAGGTTTGAAAGTTATGTACAGCTCTATTTTGTTAGAAATCAAATAGGTACATAGGTATAATAGGAATAAATCACACGCAGTAATCCAGACAAATGTTCTCCAATTATTTTACCATCGAGTCTATGGTCTATGATAGACCATGAAGTAGGTACTTCCAATTAAAGCTCTATTAGGTCCTATGTAAGCGTTTTTTATCGTACACATGCAAAGTGGTGGACACAAATGTAATAATAGTATGTCACGGTTCACCACTATGGGGGTTGACCGTGGTGCATGGCCGTCGCCGCAGGATGCCGATACGCATCGCGACGCACCGCATCGCATGCCCACCCTTCCGGTTAGGCTGCACTATCAATTAATAAACACTAATACCCCAAACCACAGCGTATTGCTAAGGCTGATTTGCACCATCTATCTTTAACCGTATAAATAACCAGCGTATTTTGTATGGAGTTTGACAGATTTTTGACGTTTTTTAATGTCAAAGTAAGATGGTGCAACCCAGTCTAAGTGCTCGATTAATAATACGTTTACCTATGTAATGCAACTCAATACCGATACTTTAAATTATGTTACCTACTTAATTTACAATCTGGGCAGACAAAACATAAATACTTATGGTTGATTAAAGGTCAGAGAAAAAGCTAAAATTATCTTTAATTCAAATTAAGTTAGAATAATTAGTAAACAAGACTGTTTTGGGCTGACACTGTGTAGGTTTGTTGTCGATACGAAAAAAAGAAGAAGACTGTGACCACAGTATAATTATGTGCAGTGTGACGGTGGCGGGAGTTGTTTTATTTTTAGTATTCGTTAAAAATAAAATTCATGCTAAATAATGAGTATTTACTTAATAATTAACTATTTATGACATACACACACATATACATATTCTAATATACCGTAATATTGAATAAAGCAAATAATTATGTTTACTTCTACCAAGCCTTTGATGAAATAAATGTAATGTGAATGCGACCGGTATTAAATAACTCACTTCAAAGCATGCGATTCTTTTGAAAACACTTTTAACTTGTTTTTACTAAAGCAACGAATTTTAAATCGCTGAAATTGTATTTATCCATTGGCAATCTCATTCGATTTATAAATAAAAGACTTTCCTGTCTGTTATTTAACGGTCCAGTTCTGTGGTTTGTAAATTAACTTTAAAATTCCCCGGAACTTCGGGACTGAGGTCCATACAAGCGTCGATTTCTTCGTACATATACCTACCTACCGTAGCACTTTGTACATAATATACCTTTTCGGGTTCGATTCCCGGCCGGGCAGAAATTGAAATGATGAATTTTAATTTCTGTGACGGGTCTGGGGTTACTATGTATAATATGTATGTATTAAAAAAAAGTATATAAGTAGTATATCCGTTAAGCTAGCACCCATAACACAAGCATTAAGTTGCTTATTTTGGGGCTAACTGGCGCTGTGTGAAATTGTCCAAAGATTTATTATTATTATGTTTGTACGCNACTCAATACCGATACTTTAAATTATGTTACCTACTTAATTTACAATCTGGGCAGACAAAACATAAATACTTATGGTTGATTAAAGGTCAGAGAAAAAGCTAAAATTATCTTTAATTCAAATTAAGTTAGAATAATTAGTAAACAAGACTGTTTTGGGCTGACACTGTGTAGGTTTGTTGTCGATACGAAAAAAAGAAGAAGACTGTGACCACAGTATAATTATGTGCAGTGTGACGGTGGCGGGAGTTGTTTTATTTTTAGTATTCGTTAAAAATAAAATTCATGCTAAATAATGAGTATTTACTTAATAATTAACTATTTATGACATACACACACATATACATATTCTAATATACCGTAATATTGAATAAAGCAAATAATTATGTTTACTTCTACCAAGCCTTTGATGAAATAAATGTAATGTGAATGCGACCGGTATTAAATAACTCACTTCAAAGCATGCGATTCTTTTGAAAACACTTTTAACTTGTTTTTACTAAAGCAACGAATTTTAAATCGCTGAAATTGTATTTATCCATTGGCAATCTCATTCGATTTATAAATAAAAGACTTTCCTGTCTGTTATTTAACGGTCCAGTTCTGTGGTTTGTAAATTAACTTTAAAATTCCCCGGAACTTCGGGACTGAGGTCCATACAAGCGTCGATTTCTTCGTACATATACCTACCTACCGTAGCACTTTGTACATAATATACCTTTTCGGGTTCGATTCCCGGCCGGGCAGAAATTGAAATGATGAATTTTAATTTCTGTGACGGGTCTGGGGTTACTATGTATAATATGTATGTATTAAAAAAAAGTATATAAGTAGTATATCCGTTAAGCTAGCACCCATAACACAAGCATTAAGTTGCTTATTTTGGGGCTAACTGGCGCTGTGTGAAATTGTCCAAAGATTTATTATTATTATGTTTGTACGCTTTGGAGCTCACGGGTCAAAAGTGGCCCGGTCCTTTATGAGGCTTGCGTGGGGATACAGATCCAACACGTAGAGGCCGTTTTAAGCGCAAAATAATCGACAAAAGTGAAAGTGGTGCACATGCTGGATCTAGTCTCTGACTATATCATGGGATGTAGCCAGAGACCAGCCCCAGCTTGTGCACAGGAGCTATTGCAGTTATTGGAGAATGGACTAGGGTTATGGATGAGGGATGGATGGACTGGTTACTGGGCTATGGATGGAGACTACGGGACACCTGCCTGGTTCATAGTCTCGGACTGAAAAAATGGCAGGCGGTGACTAGCCAGCGACTAAATGGGCCCCCCCTGGCGTCATGGGTCGTATAGACCGGACTGAGGGGCAACATTGGCGTCTGCCAGCTCAGGGGTGTAGAGAGGTGTGCTGCGCTTTCTCCGAAGTTACCGCGAGTAACTACAATTACCTATACTTTTTCAGCGTCGTTTTTTGTCGTAGTTGGGTTTTAGTTTTTTTACTTTTTATTTATTATTCGTACTATTTTTGTGTTAAAGTGTATTTGTGTGTATTGTAACAAAAGTTAAATTGATGAACTAATAAGTAGTAAAGAAGCTATGAACGAAAAGATGTGAATTATAATGCAATAAGCCCATGAATACAGGTAAAGTCGCAAGCAAATGCTAGTATATATTGTACAAAATGTACAAGTAAAGCGCTTTCAAATGATACCAAACACGGCATATTTATCTTAACTTTATTTTTTTTACTTTGTATGTTTTGTCCGCTAGAGGGCGCCACATTAGATTTTGTGAAACCCCATATAATAGGTAATATAGTATAACCAGCGGACAATTAAGAGTAGGCGCACACCGTTGATTTTTCGTCGGCCGATAGTTTAGTCGGCAGTTGATCAGTATGGGCATGTATGGGAGTGCGCACACTACGCCGATTCAATTTGGCCGATTCTTCATACAAATTAAAATCGGGCACAACTATCGGCCAATTAAAAATCAACGGTGTGCGCCTACTCTAAGACGCTTTTAATGACATGTCATTTGTCGAATTCTGATAAGTAGTTTAGAAGTTACGAGGAAACCGATGAACATACATACATACATAGCCTGTCAAAATCAAAAACCCTCCTTTTGCTTTGCCGTAGTCGGGTATTAAAATGACGTAGGTCTAGCATTCACTAGAGTCTATTTATTGCCTGTGTAATGGAAAGAAAACACAAACAAAAGCCGCGCAAACTGTTTCGAAAATGGAACGTTGTTGCTGTTCTGTTTTTAAATTTAGTTTTTTTTGTTGCAGACAAGAATGCCAGGCACACACGACCAACAACCACGAACGCAACGAACAGGCTACTCTGCAGTGGGCTAAAACCTCCATGCATGAACTCCGCGTCGAGATGAAGGAGCTGGGAGAGAGCGTCAACAACTCGGTCCTGCTGCGCCAGCTGCATAACATGAGGAACGAAGTAAGTGATAGATAGAGGTCTTCATCTAAATTTCTAAGCATGAACCTCACGGGCCCCAAGTGATCTTCATAAGAACGGGCAGTTTTCAAGGCGTTAGCATATAAGTCTACATAGGGAGATGGCCTTCGATCATGCAACAATAATTGCATAGATACAATGAGTAAAAAACCTTATCTTTCTTAAAACTTGAGGAACAGTAAGCCATATACAGAATACATACATAATTATACAGTTACTTTAGTTCACGAGTTCACTTCTATCACGCGAAGACCACCAAAACTTGAACAATGAGCCTATTGATTTCATTAACAAAGGAGATATATTTGGTATGTCTATCATAATGTACTCAATAGAATAGACACTATCTAAACACAACGCCATAAACCGTCTCAGTACCTACACACTTCTTCGTAGCTGGAAATCGTATCTATATGATAATAAAAGGTCTATTTATGGGAGACAGTCGCCATGGCTGAAATTCAGAAAGAAAATCGCCGCATTAAATCCTCTGAGATCGAAACTAAATAGCTCTATATGCCGTGACAAAAATAGCTTTGAAAAGCACTAATGGACGCGGCTAGAGTAAATCAGTCTGTGTTTTTGGCTAATGTGTGCGTAAGTCTGTCCTTTTACTCTGTCTCGTTTTCATGTGCTGAATTTAGATTGCAACAAGCAAGGCATAAAAAGTTTTGTTACTTTTTCTGCTCACAAAAGTATCCATGGCGAAACCAGTCTTTATGTAATAATAAAAAAAAATCTGCCAGAATGAACCCTGGAAAGTAGGTCTATTCAACTTATTTCTGTCAAATTAATTATTAGTAAATTACTTACTAAATATTAGGTAATTATGGGAAACCATCGGCTTCTGTAACCGTCACAAGAAACGGGTCGATACTATTATCAGGGTCGTGCAAAAGATGTAGCAAATTAGGTGGTCGCTACATGCCAAAGGGATGAAAATCGATGATATAAATTAACTACCTACTGTTAAAGTAACGATAATGAAAAACGCAGGAACTCCATTCGCATTTTGTAATTGCATAAGATTATACTGTCTAATCCACCAGTGCTGGTACGTGATGTACTGTAATTCAACTTAGTGTCGTCCACGGCAGGACGTCATCCCCAAGGATTTCCTCAACTATCGGTCCCGCTCTGCCCGCATCCAGGTGCTTTCCACGAAATTCGCCAACCGTCAGTCCACTAAGGGAGGTCTGCCTACACTATGTTTTCCGGTTCGTTTAGTTTATATCACAGGTGCATTTTCAACCGACTTCAAAAAAGGAGGAGGTTCTCAATTCGACCCGTATGTTTTTTTTCTATGTTTGTTACGCGATAACTCCGCCAATTATGAACCGATTTGAACAAATCTTTTTTCGGCGTATAGGTAATACCTCAAGGGTGGTCCCATTTAAATTTAATAATAGAAAAAACAACCCCCAATGGTGGAAATTTGGGGATGAACTTTTTTATACGCAATATCTCCGCCGATTATAAATCAATTTGAACGATTATTTTTTTGTTGAATAGGTATTATCAAAAGGGTGGTTTCATGCGAATTTGAAGAAAATATTTCACCCCCAAGGGTGGAAAATTGGGGATGAACTTTTTTATACGCAATATTTTTAATTTTTAGTTTTTTTTTGTGTTCACGCATTTGAAGTCGGTTTTATTTTTAAAAAAAGTTAATTATTGTTCTAGCTGAAGCAAGCACTAATGGAGAACTCCGACTTGGCTCAACTCGCCCGCACCCAGGAGGCTCGTGTCGACAAGATGGACAACGAACTCAGCCGCATCAAGTTCGATGTGACCCAGATGAGGGGCATGGTGGCCGATCTTCGAGGCCAGCTCGGGAAGGTCGCCAAAGAGGTCAGTCATTTACAGGTAAATTGATCTTCCAGAGAACCATGTTTCAGATATTTTTTTAACAGATACTTTTTGGATTTCGCGTATTTTTATCGATCAAAAAATTATTATGAAGCTCTACACTTGGGTTATTAGACTAAATATGTCTCAAATCGGTGTCTAAACAACGGGACATAGTGCCCAGAATGATGGCTGCATTTCCACGCCGCGCTGTGACAGTGGCACATTTTCGGAGCTAACTGCATATAAAATTATGAAACACTCTCCTGAAAATCAAATCTAGTAAGTTACTTTATACTCTACAAAAAGGCAACGCATATTTACAAAATACTTATGTAATATTATTAGTATTAAAATCACGCAGATTTCATTTGGAATAATTCAAACAATTCTATCGCTAAGCAAATGACCTGCAACATAAATAATTCAAATCTATTAAGTCTCGGTGAAGGGAACCATAACTACGTTTAAATTCTGCTCCCTCTTGTCAGTTAGTTCGGAGTTGTTAATCGTTTGCTAAGAATATTCATAGTTCACACTTATCTTTAATTTAATAATAGTTTAGGTAGTTTGTTGTGTAATGGACAAAATGAAGTTCAAAAATCTATTAACAGAGAGAGTGTACACCGCATTTACAGGAAACTCTATTGACATAGTTACTTAATATGCAGAAGGTATACTTATGTACGGCCTGTCACAGAAAGCCTTTCCAAAGACTTATGAATTTAAGTCCTCATCCTAGAGAAATGGTCAGCCCCATACAATATTTTATTACATAATTCCCCCTTGTTTTAGTGGCAAAAGATAATCCACGCCTTCACGCAGGATCCAATTTATTTCTATAAAAAAAACTCATCAAAATTGGTTCAAAGGTTCTGGTGTGAAAACGTAACACAGACGGAATTATCGAAGTGTATTAGTAGCTTTTGATGATATATTTTAGACTTCGGACAATCTCTCATCCGAACATTGTATAAAAATCACGTACAAAGTTTGTGGATCTCCAAGAAACGTTTATAGTTTATGGCGCTGCAAGCCATCCCAGCGATACATAAAGAAAGGAGCTAATAACTATTTCAACCCCTCATTTATGTCAAAATGTTTTCTCAATTTATTTTTGCGTCTGCCCCTTCGTTCCGGGGGAAGATTACATTGCTTTTGTATAAGTATTCCCTTCACTAAATAGCGTCTTCAGATTTTCTTGTGCAATATTCAATTCGAGTTTCTTCCGGTATTGTGAAAATGCATTGAGAAAGTCAATCACTTACAAACGAAATGAGATCTCTGATATTGAAAAGTTGTTTGAATAAATATTTATTTGTAGTAGTCAAAGTGGAAGACCTTTAGGCATTCCCATTGTACTTATTATGCTACTACTACCTAGATATTTGTCTACGTGATAATTAGGTAAACGTTGTAATAAAGAACTTTTAAAACAATATTTGTTTGGCAAATTGGCAACATTCCCTTGTTATTACGGATTTTGGTTGCAAAATAAACGAGTATATTTTAAAATCTCCCCGTAATGTTTTAATTGAAAAGCTTTATATGAGGAAAGGATAACATTTTAAATGCCGATTAACATGGTATTTAATTATTATCATGATTATGTTTATTCAGTGTAGGTAGATTTAAATTAATTTGTTTTATATCAAACATATTAAATTATTATTGGTATCAATTAAGTACCTAGATAAATATTTTCTTTGTACCTTCTACCCACAGTTTCTGCCTAAATCTTCATATCAAGTCCATAACATAACTAACAGTCGTCAAAATGGAATACCCATGGACCTGTTTAGGTGTAGAAAAGAGAGCTTTTTCACATAGCCTACGAGAAAACGAACATTAAACAAACGCCGAGCGAAATAGGTCAAAAGGCGATGAAGGAAATAATGGATATATGTAGACCGTTGATGACGTGTGCTCCTCTCTTCGCGGATATGAGACAGCAGCTGCGGAAATGTGGTAGCGGGCGGTGCCGCGGTGCTTCGAAATTACTTCAAGTCCTGCAAAATGCGGGAAACTGCAGTGATGAGGCTCAGCTATTTCACCCCGCGCGTTCCCATTTCCTGAACAGTATTGGCACGTTTCAGCACTCTATAGTTTCAGTCACAAACATTCTCGACGCCAAGTGCGAGTCGGACTCTCGCACCGAGGGTTACGTACACACTTGTAGGTACGAGTATTTAAAAGTTTGTTTCAGCAATAATTAAACTTTAAGATGATCTAACCACAAAATGGTTTTCGGAATTTTTCCTTATCGTGCTTTGTGATAAGTAGGTACTGCTTCTTTAATAAAAAAGTTTGACTTCCTTTTGCAAGTATTCGACAAGTTTGATTTTGTTCACAGAGACTTAGACTAGAGTGTATGGTTTTAATTCCAACTCGATACCTTTACGCGTTTTTGAGATTAAAGGTCTTGCTTAACAGACTGACGGACAACAAAGTACCTAATTCTTTAAGGGTTTTTTCTTTTGAAGTACAGGACCCTAAAAATGAGCTTAGTGCTGGGTATTTTTAGCAAATATCTAGTTCCCACGTACAGATTACACCTGCAGATGACCAAGGTAATGAACTATGAACCAGTTGGTTAATTGACTACTTAACTGGATGAGAAATGTGAGCGATGCGATCGACGAACTTAAAGATCCGTCTTTAAGATTTTCAGGCTTTGTCTTTGAATTGAATATTCTTACTTACCTAATTTTGATGAAAAAAAAATATTAACTGACTTCAATAAAAAAGGAGGTTCTATGCTCGACTGTATGTATTTTTTTTGTGATAAGTATTATTTTAGACCAATATTCAGTTGAAACTTAGCGTTAGGTATAAGCTAACTTTAAGGTTAGTGCTTTTTATTGGTCACTCATTCGTTACCGCTTACCGCAGCTACGTTGACTATTTATTTTTGTATCGTAATTAATAAATAGTTAATAACCTTTTTAACTCAGATTACAGAAAAATCTAGTTATCAAGTCCGTTGAAAATATATTAAAGTGGCTGCTAAATTCATCTTGCGACATAATAACTGTGTGTTAAGGTTGAATATCAAATAGCAGGAGACAAAAAACAGATGTAGTCCCTTCACGCTCGCTGGACGTAACCGTCGCCGACCGTTGCGCCTGCGACTTTTTACCGGTCAATATGCTTTGTATTTAGAATATCGTTTTAATTTCTCAAGGATTCATAAGCGTGACGCTATGAACACTGCAATTTACGTCCTAGGCCAATTATTAGTATAACCAAACATTATTATTATCATGGTCAAATATAAAAATTATATCCACAACTTGATTGAAAATTACCACAACTTGATTGAAAATTACCACAACTTGATTGAAAATTACCACAACTTGATTGAAAATTAAACGCCAAACGTCGGCCGTTTGGTGTAGTGGTTCGAAACGGACTACTATTCCGGAGGTAGCGGGTTCGATTCCCGCACAGTACAAACAGTTGTGTGCATGAACATATTTGTTTGTATTGGACTGGGTGTTTTCTATGTATAATAAGTATGTATTTACAAAAAAAAAAAAAGTATTTAAGTATGTTTATATCCGTTATCTAGTACCCATAGTACAAGCTTTGCTTAGTTTGGGACTAGAAGCGCAGTGTAAAATGTCTAAGGATATTTATTTATTTATTATTATTATTTATTTATTTATTATTAATTAGTGTTGTTCCGGATAGTTTAGTGGTTCATTTACTAAATTAATGTTGTTGCCGCTGTGTTTAAAATAATAACATGATCCAGCTGGAAATGAAAATTATCGAATATTGAATTTAATATCCGCACAATATACGGACGGTATTCGTTAGCAAACATTGTAATCGGGCAGGTAACTAACTACCAGATAAATATTAACAGGAAATGTCCTAAATTCCAGTTATCTATCTAAAGTACTTAAATCGTTATCTTATGAATATAATCTACGTAAGTAATTTGATTTCAAGTAAACATTTTGTTCCAATTTTATGGTCCTTTAGGAACTCGGTTAGATACGACTAGGTTATTTAGAATGAACTGTTGCATACTTAATTAAAATTATAATAATATGCACTTTTGGGTAGCTAGAATTTCGAATTTCCCTCGTAGTTAGTCCAGTCAATGAATGCTTTAACGACGGTGTAGAGAGAAATCCGTGGAACACAATTTCTGACCTCGGGACTTTATTTAGACTAGTTAGGAGGTGAACATAGCAAAAGTCCCCGCCCTTAGCCTTTGAGCCGGCGGGGAGAGGGGGGTTTAAAGGTATCACTTTTCGGTTTTTCGCTTAATCCTCGAAAACTATGCGTCCTAGTGACATGACTACTATGAACCAAAAAAAGCTTATTCAACTTGCTACAGATGAGAGAGTCAAGTTTTTCTATATCTTGTATAGTTTTCGCGGCATCTGCTCTAGAAGGTCTGTAATATTGGAAATTTTATTTTTGTCTTACATGTTCCTAACAGTAGAAAATCGACTAAATCAACATTGAGCAAACATTCTAGACAAGCTGGAGCATGTTAAGCCTAATTCCAGGTAAGGGACTGCACCGTGCGTATATTTAGACGAACCACTTGGAGCCACTTTTGACTCCTCATCACTCAAAAAGTACTGTGCATTAACACTTCAAATTTGGCTCATGTGTTAAGACCTGCAAGATAAACATCAGCTTCAAATTTCATAAATATACCTCAAACGGTTTTTTAGGAATTGACGTTCAAGTGGTTAGTCTAAATAAACGCACGGTGCAGTCCCCTCCCTGGAACTAGGCTTAACATGCTCCCGCAGGTCTAGAATATTAGCTCAATGCTGATTTAGTCGATTTTCTCCTGATGGGAACATGTAAGACAGAAATAAAATTTCCAATATTACAGACCTTTTCGAGCAGATGTCGCGAAAACTATACAAGATATAGAAAAACTTGACCATCTCACTTGTAGCAAATTCAATAAGCTTTATTTGGTTCATAGTAGTCATGTCACTAGGACGCATAGTTTTCGAGGATTAAGCGAAAAACCGAAAAGTGGT